ATTGCATCTCAACATCAAGAAAACAAAGATCCTAACGACCATTCCAATAGGTATCATCATGGGATAGAGAGGAAAGACTGAGATTGTTAACAATTTCAACTTGTTCAGATCCACAATCAACACTCTTGCACCATCAGTTAGCAAGTCGAGCACTTCTCCAGAGTGGTAGAGTGCATCAATGTTAATCAAAAGACTAAAGGTGTGCCTGACCCAAACTATGGTCTTCTCAATTGCTTCCTATGAATCTGAGAGCTGGACAATGACTTAGGATGACTATAATTATCGATCCCTTTGAGTTGTGGTGCTGGAGAAGAGTATTGAACATACCACAGCCTGCCAAGAGAGTAAGTTTGTCTATCCTGGACAGAACAAAAAACAGCTTGCTCCTTGGAGACAAGGATTCTGAAACTCCATTTCCCATACTCTGGGCATGGTGTCAGAAGGAGCCAGTTCTTGAAGATGAATATCATGCTTACAAGGTTAGAAGGTCTGTGCGAGAGGAAGGCCCTGGCTGAAACAGATAGACACAGTGACTGTGGCAACTTAGTCAGGTATGTCAAAGATGATGAGGTTGGCTCAACACAGGGCAAGGTTCAGAGTCGTTCACAGGGTCGCTATGAGTGGAAGTAGATTCAACAGCACATAACAACAACTACTTGAATTTAAAAGCCATCTCAACAATAGGCTCGAGGCATTAAACACTAATGACTGAAGATCAGATGAGCTGGGACATCATGCATATCAAAAGCAAAATGTCATTAAAAATGAATGTCAGAAGAGACTGAAAAACGGCAATATAATGTTAAGAAGTCAAAACAAAGTGGTGAAGAGATGTTAAAGTAAAAGAGCTAAACAGACTTCAAAGTACAGCTTGAGAAGGCAATGTATTACAAAGTTATTGCAGAGAAATGTACAAAGAAGTGCAGAATCAGAGGGAAAACATATTTGTTTTTCAAGCAGAAATAACAAAAAGAAACTCAAGCCCTGAGCAGCAATGCTGAAGACTGCAATTGAGTGCATTTTTGAACGATCCAGGAAGTATCAAAAGAAAATGGACAAAATAGTCACTGTACCAAAAAGAATCGGCTGACACATTTTAAGAAGTAGCATATGACAATCAACACCATAGGTATTAGCAGTCAAGAAATCAAAACACATATTGCACCTGGACAGTCTGCTGCCAGAGATCTCTCCAAAATACTATATAACGAAGATGTCAGCTTAAAGACTGAGCTGTGCCTGATTCAAGCCATGGTCTTTCCAATCACCTGCTATGCAACTGAGAGCTGCACAATGAGTAAGGATGACAGAATTATTGATGCCTTTGAGTTTGGGTGTTGGAGAAGGGGGTTGAGAATCTCAGGACTGCCAAAAAGAACAAACAGATAAGACTTGGACAAAGTGTAGCTATAGTACTCTTTACAGGCAAAGAAGGTAACGCTTCATTTTACATACTGTACTTTGAGTACGTTATTAAGAGAGGGTATTCCTTGAAAAAGGATCCTCCACACTTGGAAATGTGGAGGGTCAGTGAGAGAGAAGAAGAGCGTCAACAAGATGGACCCACACAGTGGGATGAAGTTCGTCAGAGATAAGGATGGCGCAGAATAGGAGAGGATAGGATTCAGGGCTCGTGTTATACAGTCACTAGGGGTTGCACTCATCTGTTGTTAACAGCAGCAGCAGTTAAGAGATTTTGAACATTTATGCATGTGTTTTTGGCTATCTGACCTTTTTTGGTTTAGCGTCTACTCATTCTTTCTTTTCTGCACATGTTGTGATTAGGCTATTTGCCTTTTTCTTATTGAGGTGATGGAATGGTCTATAGATTTTAGATGAGTGCCTTATCAAATATGTCAAAACTGGATGAAATTTACAGGGAAATGGTAAAAAGGAAATCACCCAACATACTTAAGTATGAATTTGTTCCATATGAAAAAAACGCTGAGTCCAGCAATTTTGGTTTTGGGTAAAAAATACACTGATGTTTTCCATTACAATGACTCATGTTCTTCACATCAAAATAATTAATAATAATAATAATAATAATAAAACAGCAGCACACCACAACCAAATTTCATTGTCGTCAAGTTGGAAACAACGTACAGTTGACCTTCTGGTGGATTTTCAGAGGTGGTAAGTTGCATGGAAAGAAATTGCTCATCTTTCTCTGGTGAAACTGCTGGTGGATTCAAATCCACGTACCAAAAAGAGGAGACGTTGTTAGAAAAGAAGGGGTTGGAGGTGCAACTCCTTACTCATTAAGCCCCCTGACCAAAGTACTGGTGGGCTAAAAATTGCTTACCTTAGAATATTCTGTTTTGAAAATGATTTCATAGACACATTATAACTTTGGATATGTTTTATTATGTTACAAGATCCCAAGACATACAAGAAATAGCATTTCCGAGTAGAACTAATAATTTCAGAAACATTAGCACTTTACTGACAACAGCCAGGTTTTCTAAGGTAGTGGTCATGTATTTCAGTTACCATTAAAATAAAAACACACCTCAACATTTTTTACAAATTAAGGAAAAAATAGTAGATTTCATGTAGTTGTTTCAAAATTCAGTGTAAAATCTGTATGTCAAACAAATAAGACATTTTTATGGAGCTAGGGAGAACAGCACATGAAATCCTTCTACCTCAGTTGTTACTATGTCTCCTGTATTTGTATTAGGTATTTTTGGGTTTAAAAAACCCAAACACCAACAAAACAACCCTCAATAAAACCCCACACAAACCAAAACAAACACCCCAGAAAATCACTCCTGGAAATGTTCCCAATTAATTGGAAATAAGGAAAAAAATTTAAAAAACAGTTCAATAATTAACTAATTTCATTTTTGAAAGTAAAATTAACTGTTACTTTATCTACATATGGATTAAATAGAAAATTCAGAAGAATATTTTCTGAATAATTGAAAAAAGTAATACATTAATATATAACAGCATTTCTACAACATCCAAAATGTGAATGGAGTATTAGGCAATGCTGACATTTCTGCCACTTATTATTAAAAGGAGATGAGTACCTTCTAGCCAAGGGCATCACTGAGTGTAACATGACTCTTGGGACATTCAGGTGGGATACCACTGTTCGCAGGCTGCATATTAGTCTTCAAGAAGGAATGTTTTATGCGGTAATTCTATAGCTGTGCCAAGTCTGAAAACTTGACATTTGACTCTTAGTGAGCAAGATGAGTATATATGCAAAATATGAAACAGCTCCAGGACTAAGTTAACTATTAAATAAACTTAAAAGGGGATAAAAAATGCTAGCAGCTAAAACTATGTCAATTCTACGGCCTCTGATAGAAGAGGTAATAACAATTGTTTGCAAACCTCAATGATGATCAGAATCACCACAAGGCTATCTTTACAAATTTCAGATTTAAAAAAAAAAATTTAAAAAAAAAAATTTCAGATTCTAGAACATCAATCTCAAATTTTCTAGGAGCTACAGCCCAAAGTGAATCTGATGACACAATGAGTTTCAAACTTTTTAAAGAGGAAGATGTGGGCTAATGGGTGTGTTTCAGAATTCATCAAATCACCCTCAAGTTTTCCAATTGTCTTATCTTTTTCCCTAATTGTTAAAGGATGGAAAGGAGTTATTGCTTGCTGTGGAGTTGGAACCAACTAATAGCTGATCATCCACTGGGTTTTCAGAGGCAGGATATTGCACAAGAGAAGATTCCCCATCCATCTCCCATGAAGCTGCTGATGGATTAGAATCGTGTGCCTTTGAGATTGCAGTGCAGCTTCTTATCACTCGGCCACCAGAGCTAGGAGTCAGGAGGGTACCCAATATTGATTTACGATGTCCAAGCCAGTTAAGTTAGATTAATTGGATAAGATGATATCCATACACTTCAGTCATCAAACAAACATTTCAAATGTTAATGTATTTTAAAGGCAAGTTCTTACTCAGCATGAGCATGTAATATAGAACAGTCACAAATACTAATGATATTTAATAGAAAACTTTTATAATTCTCCAAGAACAATTTATTTCCATTGTTATCGGATTATCTCTCAGATGACTGAGAATAACTATATTATAGTATTATTCTCCAAGTCTGAAACCAGAACAAATATTTGAGCCCTATTTATGCTTGTGTAAAGTTTTGGTTTGGATCTTAATACATAATATGATATATAAGATAAACAGTATGAATTTTTTTTTCTTATATACTGAAATTGTGCACTTTCCAGCCTTGAATCACAACCACTTTCAAAATATTCACTAATAAGGCTTAGAACATAAAAAGTAGTAGTACCTATGTAAGAAATTTTACATTAAAATTACATTACTTTTCAAAAGTTAAGTGATTTTAACATTCAAATACAGAAAGGTAAATTTTCATTTACTACAGCACAATTCAAGTATTCTTTACAATTTATAATTAACCAACTGATTTCATGATATCGAGTGGCTGTTCCAATAGTCCTCTTTCAAAAAGTTAACTGTTATACAAAATAATGTGATATTATGATTCTAAATAATGTAAAGTTGAAAATTCAAATAAATGACAGCAGGTAAAATGACTTTCTGAGTAAATCTTCAACAAATAAAAGATTGTATACATCAGTAATAAGGTATTTGTAAATAACTCCCCCAAAACATCTGGATTCATGTAAACAAAGACTATGTATATTGCTTTAGGGAAAAAAGCTCTCCCATAGATAAAATATATATTTAAATGGTTGTGACTTTAAACCATATATTATTTGAATACCACACAACACCCTAAAAGTATATCTATTTTTTTTTAATAACTGGAAGATGTTACTTATTTTTGAAATATAAGGTGGTTACTTGAATTTAGTCGTGGAAAAGAAATATTTTTAAAATAAACATCTATCAGTTTGCAAAAAAATAAATATACACTTAGTTGTTTTAATGCATTGCATCACAGGAATAATGTCCTAGCATTAACTATAACATTCAATCAGTAGTTTCAAATTTTCTTCCACACTGTGCCTTGAATCTTCTACCTTGTCAGCTGCCCAACAACTTTCAAAAGAGTTTTATTTTCTTGCTTTAATTGTTCATTTTCATCTTCTAGGTCATCTAGGTCCTCAAGGAAAAAAAGGAAATTAATAAAGTTTTAAAATACTTAAATATTCTAAAGGAAATAAGGACATCTGAGAACCACATATTCTAAGACAACTATTCCTTTTGAAATATGAGTTTTGGAAAACAACTTCAGCTTCAGAATGTCCTGAGGTCAGCCACTACTGAACTCCTCATGTTGGCCAGAGTAAATGAAGGCTAATGTTGCCAAAATTTTTCCATTTTAAAAGAGAAGTCAGAAATCCAGATTAACTGTGAATCTCCCAATTTTTCATCACAGTAAACAATTTTTCAGTTAAGAACAATTACTCACTTGCTTCTGAGAAATTGAGAGCCAACAAAACATTATCTCTAGGTCAGTTGTGGTTCAATGCCTTAAGGTTACATCTGCAGGTGCCAAGAGATCCTACTACAATTTGGAGAGTACTCCAACCTTTTATCATGTGATTGTTAACAGGTGTACATTTAAACTTGGAATGTGGGAGACAAGAGGAATGAAGCATACAAAAGAGGCGGCACAGGGCTTGCAGAGTAGACTTGGTTCAACCCGATGAGGTAGTGGGCATCAATCCCCATCCAAGGGGAGTACTAGGGAGCTCGTGTGGCATAGAGTAAATAGGTAACGCAAAGGTGATGCCTCAAATTCACCAGCTCTGTGCGAGAAAGATGGGCAATCTTTTCTCATGCAATTTAGAGTCTCTGAAAACTGATGGACAGTCAACTATGAATCTGTTCTGATTTCAACAGCAATGAGAGTTTTTCTTATAGGGTACTAGCAATCAGAACAGATTTACAGCAGTGAATTTGGTTTGGGGTTTATGTTTTCCATAGTAACATTAACACCACATATATAATCATTTCTTAACACTAAGAAAATACACCCTAAATTTTAATTACAAGAAGTACTACTTCTATGTAAACTACTTAGGTAACATCAATTACCATAAAAAAATGAGAAAGAAATCATGTCTATATTTTCTTTCAATTTACAATATTAAACCTGAAGAGAATCAGTATTAGTAATTATAAATGTGCTATAGAAGAATCTTTATAAATTTAGTATGTTATTGTTGATATAAAATTTTATCGAAAATTCTTTTATATAAAAAAATTTGGAAAAGCAGAATTTTTGTTTACTCACAAACTAAAAGAGGTTGGAAAACTAATCTGTTAAAACAAAAAAAAGATTCCTAAACTTACTGTGACTGAGATCTACCTCAGATTTAGAATGAAATGATAAAATAACCCCATGACTTTGTATTTCTACACATGACCTGGAGATGGTTACTTCAACTATGAGTTTCTGTTTCCCAATTGATAGCCTGTGGTTAATGTCTCAGAACTTTATTAAATGAGTACTCTTTCTTTTCTTGATTAGAATTAAGGCTGGACTGAGGATCTATCTGCTTCCCGCCCCCAATGCCCCATCAAGTATTCCTTTCCTCCATTTTATCTTAACAGCACAATAAAAAGTGCAAATGAGGAAGGAGTCTCTTCTCATCTCACCACTACTCAAGTATGGTTTAGCCAAAGGAAGAACCACAAGAATGGGGAATACAGAGCCTCGCAAGGCTAGCCCAAACGCTGGTGATGCAGATGTATTAATTGCAGGGAAAATGAGAAAACTGACCCAAAGAACATCTGGGATTTCTTACAAGGACAGTATCACTTCCATCAGTTCACTGAAGCAACTCTGTGCCAAAGCCCTTTTATGGATGTTTTCCTTGTTGTGATTATGTTCCAACTTGCATCACCTGGGAGGAAACTGCTTATCTTTCTCCTGAGGAGCACATGGGGAATTTGAACTGCTCGCCTTTGGGTTGGCTGTGCAACTCTTCATCCACTAGGTTACCAGAGTGGCTGTTTTTATTTTGGGCATGTTCCTAGGAGAGATTATTCCTTGGAAAAGAGTTATCATGCTTGGAAAGGTGGAAGGTCAGCAAAAGAGAGGATGATCCTTAATGAGATGGACCAACACAGTGACTGCAGCAATGGGCTCAAATGTGTCAGAGATAATGAAGATAGCGCAAGATAGGACAAGGTTCAGACCTGTTGTTCACAGGCACTTCTGGCGACCTAATGGTAAGGACAAGCCTTTGAAAAACCTACTGGAGGGGTGACTGAGTCAGTTCTGACTCAACAGTAACAACAGCAAGTTCACAGTGTATGGTGGTGACCACGTTACTTTTTACCTCCAAACTCTAATTAAACATGTTACTTGTTACCTCCAAACTATAATAAAACACAGAACTAATCATCAATCATTTTCCAAATAATAAAACTTAATGATTAAAACTGATAAATGACCAGAGAAAAATCAGTGGTTAGAATAACACTCTAGCTCTTATCAACATGAATTTACTATTTCATTACCAAAACCAGAGCAATAAAATGAAATCATTTGTCATATTTTATACATTTGAGGTAATTGCCAATAAAAGAGGAAACTATGAAAGGGAGATACATGAAATACTTACTCTATTTAACAAATAAATTTCTTGTTTGAGTTTCCCGATCATTTCTTCTTTATCTTGCATCAATTTCACAAGTCTGATATTTTCTTGCCTTTCTCTTACTATTTCCTAGTAGATATAAACACAAAGTTGAGAAATAATTATTTATAATTGTCTTTAAATGGTATATATCTGCAATCTTTAGTGACATGCTTTAGATATTTGAAAATATATCTTTCCTGAACTCTACAATACATAGTGAGAGGTGAAATCCACTTCAGAGAAGAATCAGAGAATATGGAAGCTATAAGGTAAGTTATTGATTAAATACAAGTTTATACAAATCTTTAGCAAATGTTAGAAGACTCAATGATTTACCCTCTTTCACTTATCACTATGATTAGTTAAAAGTTACATATTATATGGATAGTGTACTCTGTACAGAAACTCAGCTTTTTAATTAAATAGACAAGACTTCAGGCTCTGTTATTCACTGGCAATGAATGAAAACAAAAAGGAATTTGACTGAATTATTAATTTCCTAACTTTTTTGTTTAAACAATGGAATACCTGATTAAAAGAAAACTAGATGTAGAATCCAGGGCTGTGGGTTGCATCAGTCATCTTCCAGACAAAAGGGAGGCTAAGTTATAAGTGGCTCATGTAGAATCTGGTTTCCTTCCTTTTACACCCCAGCAAGTTGTCTGTATTAATTAGCTCCTACCAACTATAGGCAGTCACTGAGTTAGATGCAAATCTGTCTCTAAGTGGAATCTCTAATTGTTCTCTAAGTGAGTCAGGACAAGTACACATATGATTTTTACTTCAGTGCTAGAAAAGGCCTGAAATCTTTCCAATGATTTAAACCTTACACCTGAGTAAAGTGAAAGTGATAATGATGTACCTATTATGAGCAGGAGTTGATTCCATTGTTTCAAAGTGAGAACAAATTTACCTAATATTAAAGGGTAAACTGCACTGCAATCCCAAAGGCACCCAGGCCAAATCCACCAGCTGCTCTGCAGGAGAAGGGTGGGCAATCTCTTCCCAAGCAATTTACTGTTTATGAAAATCCACCGGAGGGTCAGTTACAAATCAGGTCTCACTTGACCGCAACCACCACCACCACGGGCAAGTAGGAGTTGTCTGTACAATGCATTTCTGTTATCCAGGGGTTCCTAGTACTGCTATTTAAACTACTGTGAACTCTAGAAACCTTTAAAAGGAACCCAAATAAAAATTACTGGACCACAAATTCTCTTAAAATTTTAAAAATAATGGCTCCAAGTACAAATAAAGTTTAATACTACATAAAACCATCTTTTATTTCTAAACCTTTGTATCACAAAAAGTAATTTTAATTCCATAAAACATTTTAAAAAACTGGAAAGTAATTAATTATCACGATCAATACATTTTACGGGAATTCCACGACACCTTAGAGTGTTATGCTTAGGAATTTATGCCTATATTAATTTGATTTTCCGAAATAATCCCAAGAGGTTTATTATTCTTTAAAAAAATGTTTCTTAGCCTTTTTCTTTTATTTATCCTTACAGAAAATTAATGCCAACACCAAATGGCCCTTGGAAACAAGGAAAGCCTATACACGACAACTGCTATAGAAAATAAATAACACACAAGACATAGCCACCTTGGATTTCTAACTACTGCAAAGGCAGAGAATGCATATGCTTCTAATATATTAAAAATATATTAATGTTATAGTAACACTTGAAGAGTAGGAAGCTCCATTAAACAGAAAAGACAGAAATGAATAAAAACATATTAAGGGAATCAGAAAATGCCAAGCTGGTTTTGTTGTTGTTAGGCTCTCTCTGTCAAGTCAACTCTAATGCACAGCGATCCCCTGCATAACAGGACAAAACTGCCTTGCCCTATCCTCACAACTCCACTACGTTTATGTCCATTGTTGCAGTCACTTTGGCAATCCACCTTGTTGAAGGTGTTCCTGTCTTTTGATGACCCTGTTTTTTCCAAGCATAGTATCTTTTCACAAGGACTGTAACTGCATGATAATATGCCCAAAGCACATTACCTCTAAGAGTTCCATGGCTGTACCTCTTCCAACCCCGATCTATTGTTATTCTAGCAGTCCACAGTATATTCAATACTCTGTCTCATTCAAAGGCATCACTTCTTATTCTGTCTTCCTTATTCAAGTCACCATGCATAAGACAGTAATGTAAAGCTTCTATAAAGAGCCTTACAGCTTGGAAAAACAGAAGGCCGGTGAAAGAGAAGATAATCAATAAGGCAGATGTAACACAACGACTATAGTCTTGAACATGGTAGAGATGTGAGGAAGACGTAAGACAAGGCAAGGTTTCCATCTGTTGTTCAGAAGGTCACACATGAGTTACAGCTGACCAAACAGTAGCTAACAACAACAACAACAACAACAACGGAAGTTAAATGGCACAATGGTTAAGCTTTTGGCTAACAACAGAAAAGAGAGCTCTAGTGGCCTAGTGGTAAAAAGTTGTACTACAATCCCAAAGGTTCACATTTCAAATCCACCAGCTGCTCCATAGGAGAAGGATGGATAATCTTCTACCGTGTGATTTATCACCCTTGGAAACCCACAGGAGAGTGGGTTGGTGCTGATTCAATGGCACACTACAAAACTCACAATTATGGAAAAGTGAATAGTCTGTGCCCACCAGCCACTCTGCCAAGGAAAGCTACAGAAGTTAGTGTCTATAAAGAAACCTTGGAAATCACATGTGCAACTTGCTCTTTTCTATAGGAGTCATTAGTTGGAAGTGACTTAATGGCAATAAATAAAACTACAGACGTAACATTCTTCTCCTGTGGGGCAGCTGATGGTGGCAATAGTATTTCTTTCATTCTTTTCCACTTAATGGCAACCTCTCCCCTGTAAATTTCAATTGGTTTCCACCCCTCTCACCTGTGGTGAAAATGGCAAAAGACAAATTATAATTATTTTATCAGAAAAACTTAATAATTTGTAATTCATACCTTTTCAAGATCTTCAATTTTCTTTTCCAAGCTGCTACCTGAGGCCAAACTACTGGAAGCACTGGTATCTCTGCTGTATCTATTGAATCCACTTCTTTCTGGTCGGAGATATCGACTCGAGACATCTTCTTCAGAGGGAGTGGTTGTACTATTGGGGGAAAAGTTATAAAAATTTCTAGTATTCAGTAAGTGAATCAAGAATATTTTCTATTCACCCTAAACCATTTACACACCTCTGAGGATACATGGTTATAGTAGACAACATTTTTACCACTGCAGAAGTTAATCATTAGTCCAATAAAATGAGAAAGTTTTAAAAGGAATATGTAAGAAAGCAATCCAAGCTAACATTCATTATACCGGTTGTATACTACTGGAAACAGGAGAAAGATGGGCAGTCTTCTGCAAAAATTTAAAACCCAGAAACCCTACATAGGGAGAATCAACAAACACAGTAGGTTGCTCTGTTTGGTCTTTGGATGGAAGATTAAAGGAAGAAAAGAAAAACTAGCAGATGGGTAAGTTTGATTCATATATGTAAAAGCCAACTTGGTTTCTTAACCTGCTGAAGAGTTTATACAAAAGTTCAAAATGTTTTTTAAGAAAATTTTTTTAAAATTATTTTTTGTGCATGTATTGTGAAATTACATCTGATTCGTATAGGAGGAGACTGTTTCTCCTTATCCAGCAGAACGTCTGGTGGAATCAAACCACATGGGTTCTGAAAGCTGTAAATCTTCTGGGAGTAAAGAGTTGCCTCTTCTTTCTACAAAGTGCCTAGCAGTACTGGGAAGCCAAGCACTTAATCACTCACTCAGCCAAGAAAGCCCATTATGAGAAAAGCAAAATATTTTTGTCAGGTACATAGCTCGATACTTCCCTGTTATTTTCTCTATACAAACAAGATCTACCTTCACATTGCAAAACTAAGCCACATACACTGATAACATAGTCCTCATAGTTTTACACCATTTATAGTAAGCTGGGCTTATAATAATCGACAAAAACAGAAAATACTTTATCCTTTATGTAGCCAGTGCAGTAACAAAATCTGTGTTCCTAAAATTGCATCAGACTCCTTTGCTATTCTTATTTGTTCAAGGGCTTTCTCTATCACTAGCCTTTTTATAACTATCTGAAGCTATCTCTATCACTAGCCTTTTTATAACTATCTGAAGCTATGGTATCTCCAAAAGAAAAAAACCAAAAACTTTTTTGCTGCAGATTAATCCAACATTTTGAAGCAATCTCCTTTCATCCTATCATTGTATGAATGTTTATAAGTTAAACATTCTGTACATGTCTGTTAACAATATAAATGTCACCTACATTTTGATGATTCCTCCTAAATTTTAGCTAAAATTATACTCAACTCAGAGGGAAAAAATGCTTCCCAACAAAACTAGGAAAAATTCTCTTGATTTCCATCAATTTGAAATTACTTCGTAACTGTCTCTTAGTTTACTACTTCTGTCACATTCAGAAGAACGGAGGTCTGATGGCACAGTCTATGGGGAGTCGAGGTGCCAACCCACTGGTGGTGAGGTGCCTCTCTGGTGGTTCGAATTCCTCAGATGCTCACAGGAAAAAAGAGAAGGCCTCCCAAAAGCCTACTATGACTCACCTATAAGCCAGTTGACTTGCCAACACAAGAATGAATGTCGCAGTCATAAGCTATACTTTTTCTTTTTAAAAAAGTCTTAAAAGGCTTGTTTTGCCACTGTAAACCAAGGTGAAAAAAATGCTTGATTTTCACAAAAAGGAGCACCAATCTTTTCCTATATTCTGGAATAGTTCTGAGTAGAATTTGAATTAAGTCTTCATTGACTGGTAAAATTCTCTAGTGAAATTAGGTGGGTTAGGGAATTTTTTGTTGTTGTTGTTGCTGTGAGTTTAGCTTAGAAATTTGTCATATTCAGTGTCAAATTTTGTTATGTCACATTCTGGTGGCCTAGTGGTAAAGATCTGCACTATCAAAAGCATGCAGTTCAACTCCAGCAACTGTTTCATAGGAGAAAGATGGATAATCTCCTTCTGTGTGACTTACTGCTTCTGATGACCTGCTGGAGAGTTAGTTGGTCAGCTATGGGTCAGTTCTGACTTGCTGGTACACAACAACAGTAACTTTTGTTACGGGTCTGTTCAGATTTTTCAATTTATGTTAGCTGAGGTAGAGTATGTGCTTCTAGAAATTTGTCCATTTATGTCAGGTTTCCAAATCCATTACAGTATAAATCTTCACTGTATTCTTTTAGTAATTTTATTTCAGTTGGTTACACTGTAAATTTGTCAATTTCTTATTTATCTTATTTGAATCTTTAGTCTTTTGTCAAATCTGTAAGCTTTTCAATTTTATTAACAGTGTCAAGGTTTCAATTTCTAGTTTTGCTAATTCTATTACTTTTCTGTTCCCAGTTTCACATATTTCTGTTCCAATACTTATTTTTCCCTCTAGAAACTGGGCTTTTATTGCTAGTCTTTCTCTAATTTTTGGGAGTTGCTGAGTTAAAGTATTGATTCTTTTGTTCGTTCTTTTTTGATGTGTGCATGAAGTTAAAGGGAGCTGGGGAGTATGTTCATCTGCGGTGATAGCCTGGACCCACGGGGTGAGTCGAAGTAGGAGGCATATAGCAATGTAGAGACGGTTGGGTTTGGGCATGTTCTGTCTGCACTGTTCACCTAGAATCCACAGATACGTTCATAAGCACAAAAGGGTGGCTGGACTGAGGAGCAGGAAGTCATGAATATCCATCCTGCTGACAGGGCCCCATGTGGGGATGAAAACTAAATGGAGTCAATAGTTCAGTCTGGACCACAGCATGGACTCCTGTATGTAACCGATGTCCATTTGGACCTAGCTATGGATGCCTGGAATGAGTTTACCAGAACCCAAGCAGATGAAGCTGTTTCATATTGAGAACTATAGTGTTGATTGTGGCAAACTGATGGATTGCTCTTCACTAGACTTTGCTTATGGATGCCGAAGCTAAATATTTTAACTGAAACAGAGGAAAAAAAATCATGTTTACTTCTCCTGAGAACTTGTTTGATAGAGATGGGCAAATCAGAAATTTGCTATCAAAAATGGGGGGTGGGGAATAAAGGCATGAAGTATGTAGCTGTTGGCTTGCATACTTTCATGAATAAAGTTTTTATTATAATTTCTAGGGGAAAGTTAATGACTATAACAGCTAAGGTGTATTCTGTGGTATTTAGAGTTTATTGTTCAAAATAAGTGGTGGCTGGACTGAGGAGCAGGAAGTTTATTTATTCAAAATAAGTTTATTGTTCAAAATAGCCACAGACGGACTGTCATGAGGATAGGTAGGAATATGTCAACAGAGGGTGAACAGAGATTGACTAGTCCTGCCACTAAATGGAGTGAATCTAGCAGAATAATTTGAGAACTTCACACCAGCAAAGAAGCAGGCATGCACTGCATGGGACCAGAGATTCTTTTGCCAACAAGACCTATAGCAGTAGCAGCTATAGCTAAAGCAAAGGCTCAGAGACCTGACATGAGACAAAGCTGACCCTGAGACTGCTACCGGTTACCACCACCCCTGCCATGGAAACAGAGCTAAGGATCTTTGCCTAAGTTTGTTGGAGGACATGGGGGTTGGTATGGCAGAGTGCCACGATTGTTAGGACTGAGGAAGGCTGAGGTACCATGAGCACACTTCATTACCTGTCTTGACGAAATACTCTTTCACTGACCCTCCACCTTTCCAAGTAAGAACTCCCTTTCCAAGGAAGAACTTCTCCTAGTGACAGGCCTAAAGTACGCGTGATGAAGTGTCACCATCCTTGCCTCCAAGGAACACTCTGGTTTCTTTCACTTTCTCTGAAACCTACCTGCTTATTCTTTTGACAGTCCATGGGACGAGCAGCACTTCTCTCCAACACCACAACTAAAAGGCTTTCATTATTCTTCTATCATGCTTATTCACTATACAGTTCTCAAATGCACGACAGCTGACTGGAAAGATTATGGTTAGAATTAGGGAGCTCTGGTGAACTAATGGTAAGGGGCTCAGGTGCAATCCCAAAGACACGTGGTGCAAGTCCGTAGCTGCTCTTCTCGTGTAATTTACTCTCTGTAAACTGGAAGCAGGAGTGGTATCCAATTCCTAATTAACATGCCTCCAGAAACTCTATGAACTTTGAAAAATATCGATAGTTGAAGAGCTTCTCGTCTTTTGTTCATAGGGTCACTATGAGTCATGCTCAACCAGAAGGCAAACAACAACAACAACTAATTAGCTGGAAGGTCAGTAATTAATTAGTTCTGACTCGATGGCAAGCAACTTGGCTTGAATCAGGTGCACCTTAGATTTTAGACTGATATCACTGCTCTTTGAGACTTCAAAGAGGTCTCTGATAGCAGACTTTGCCAATGCTATCCATTTCCTGATCTGCCAATATAAAGGGTTTTAACTGCAACTACTTTATTATATTTAGAAATCCAATAAATTCCTTATTACACTTAAAAAAAATATAAAGGGTTTTGACTGTGGACCAAAGCAAGATAAAATATTTGACAATTTCAATCTTTTCTCCATTTATCATGATGGTGGTCACTTGTACAGTGGTGATTTTTGTTTTCTTGATGTTGAGATGTAATTCCTGTTGAAGACTGCAGTCTTTGATCCCTGCAGCAAGCACCTCAAACTCTCCTCACTTTGAGCAAACAAGGTGTGCCATCTGCATAATGCAGGTTGTTGATAAGTCTTCCTCCAATCTTAATACCAAACTTTTTCATAAAATCTAGCTTCTTGAGTGATTTAATCAACATACAAACTAAAAAGTAAAGAGGTATGTAGAAAGGATACAGCCCTGACACATAGCTTTCACAATTTCTCTTGTTCTGTTTGAACAACAACTTCTTGTTTTAAGCACGTTTTGTTTGTTGTTGTTATGTGCCACTGAGTCAGCTGCAACTCACAGAGAATCAATGTACAAGAGCCCTAAATGCCGTTTTATCCTGTGCCAACCTAGCCACCTCAACCACACTCATTCCCACCACTTCAGTCAAAGAATCAATCCATCTCATCGAAGGTTTTCCTCTTCTTTGCCGCCCCTCCACTCTGCCAAACATGATGTTCCTCTCCAAGGACCAGTCCCTCCTTGCAACATGCTCAAGTATGT